GAGAGGGCAAGTTCGTTTAAGCAGCCCGAGCATCTTGTTAGCCTTACCCGTGATTGTGTGGATGTGAACATCCCAATTGAAGTTGGCACTGACGCAAACACCAAGGTCTTTCTCTTTATCCACACGCAAGAGTTCCTTCGAATTCATGTGGTAGACATACACGAGGGGAGTCTTTTTTCGTGTGATTGTCAGCACCTTACATTTCGACTGGTTGAAATCTAGGTTGTCATCATGACTCCAACATTCAAGGCTGGCCAAGGCGTGTTGCAGAATTTGACAGTCATCTTCCGATTTAATTGATTTGTACACTTTGGTGTCATCTGCATACAATGCTGCCGAGGTCTCGTCTGGTAGTACATTTGGAAGATCGTTTATAAAGATCGCAAACAGAACAGGTCCTACGATACTTCCTTGTGGCACACCAGATGTTACAGGTGCCCAGGAAGATGCAACTCCATCTACCACAACTCGTTGACAACGATCGCTCAGATAGTCTTCGAACCATGCACACAACTGTCCTGATACGCCATAGTGTTTAAGTTTGTGGAGAAGAATATATACGTGCCCATATTTTGTGGAGAAGAATATATTGACGTGCCCATATTTATAATGGCTTATAATTTGAGAGCGCTTGTCAAATGAAAGTTATGATTGTTTTCATTTAAATGTTGTTGCATTTATCTGTTCATAAAACTGAAAGACAATTATATTTTATGTGTGGCTAAAAGACATCGTTTTGGCCGCTATCTTTAGAAAATGTCTTAATCCCTATCTATAACAAGATAATGCATGATAACATCATTATGATATCTATAACATGATAATACATGCGATAATGCATTAAAAGAAATTTGCATTGATTACAACTGCACAAAATAACATTATAAAGACTGCTTTCTAGCTTTCCGTTTTAAATGAGTCTCAAACTTAAACAAAATCAAAGCTCGTTTATTTTGATTACATCTTTCAATTTACTGAACAAGCGCCCTCACATTATAAGCCATTGTGAATATGGAGGCGTCAGCCAGTTGTCCAAACGTTGTCACACATCAGAGTTTTCTCTTTCCATCTTTAACATTTAAAAATGAACATTCAACAAAAAGTATTGCTTTTTGGATCGAATTCTATTCATGGGGGTTAACCAAATATCGAGTTAGCAATGGTATATCAGCTTGTCAACCCAACTTTCCACGAAGTTGGATTTGTCGTCTTTAACGTCTTAGACTTAGTTTCGGCATGAAAATGAATCCCCAAATCTTCCCTGAAAGTCCAAAAATCTCGGGAAAATTAAAAAATACTTCACAAATTCCCCCCAAATCTTTCCTAAGTCCCCACCAAAGAAAATCCTAAAGATTGATCTCTTTCAAAATAAAAAATCTAAAATTATATTCGTAAAAAAATCCCTGAAAATTGGGTAGTGTAAAAACAACCCCACATCTCAAGAATATTATAAGGATCCTAAAAAAATACACCTCGGTCCACACTCTCTTTGTTTAGTACAACGTACCTGATAACCAATATAAAACAGGGACTTTTGCTGAGCTTGCTTGGGGTGGTATATAGACAGCAAAGTTCATATTGCAATCCAATTCCTTGCTATATAAATGAAGAAATCTCCAATATAATCATTCATAATTGCCCCAGACTTCACCTAATACTGACTAAATCTTTTTCATGGTCAGCATGAACAGTTTGCATGAGAAAAAAGGTATGATCTAAAATATTAAATTTCGGCATTGATCTTCTGCATTCAAGATTTTGTTTCATAATATAATGTACAATCATATAGTTTTGCGCAAATGTTGATCCTAAGTGCTGATCTTATGACTTAATTGGATCCAAAGCTTTGCCAAATAAGTAAACCTGGTGTTTCCTTCCACACAATAAAATAACAGACAACGAGGAGCTGGGGGGGGGGGGGGTGGGGGGGGGATAATGGTCCGGCTCCCCCATTAATAGTACTGTATTAGTAATGTCGGATTTGGGTAGTACATGTATTAATTAGTAATGTCAGATTTGGAATGAGAATACTGCGAATCTGACAAATAATTTGATAAATCCAACATAAGCAATATTGAGTTATATTTATGGCCACGAGTGCTCTACCTTTTATGATTAAACACCTTTTGGTAACCACCAAAATGTTTATTACTTGACACTTCAGTGAGTCCTGACATCTTTCTAGAAAACAATTAAAATGTGTTCAACATGTTAAATGACATCTTTGTGGCTCTGTCACACCACGGATCGGACGCGATTCAGCAACGCGCACCAAAATGTTATAGCGCCTCTAAAATTCTAAATATTTGAAAACCTAAAGCATTGAGCAAAGTTATGTCAGTGAAAATCGCGCTTTTTGCTCGAATTGTGTTTGATGTGTTTTGCTAAGATTGCATGTGTTTGTACTTCTACTTGTCGTATCAAAAAATGTTTTCTAGCTTTTAATTTACTAGGTTCAGTACTGTTTGCTATTTAAAACTGACATGCCAACTCAAATTATATTTGTGCAAACGTTCAATGTTGAAGGAATACCAATGGTTTTCCTTTTTCCGTGCAGGATAGCGTCATCCATGCACGCGGGAATGTGTAAAAAAAAACACTAGGTGAGAGAGAGAGAGAGAATGTGTAAGTCGCTACCCCAACCCCCCCCCCCCCTACGAATGTTCTTTATTAGGCCTTCATAATGTTTTCGAATTTGTGCAGTGATCCAAATGAGATTTTGTGCAGTAATGATTTTTTTTAATTACATATCATTTAGCAAATAGCCAAATACACCAAGAAGACAATACATTATGCTAGTTTTCATTTAATTTCTATCAAACCCTTTCTCCTAAAATAAATATAAGCAAGGAAAAGTAGAGATTCCCATAGCTAAACAATGCTTTTTCAAGACTTGATATCCAATCTTTGAAGATTAAACATATTGAAAGTTGTCTGGTAATGCAGGAAATCAAGTTTCAGCCAGGGTATCTCCAGATTCCAACAAAGTTGCAGCAATCAAGAACGCTGACACTCCAAAGACCGCATCACAAGTACGTAGTTTTCTCGGACTGACTAACTATATATCACGGTTCATTGCTAATTATGCCAGAACCACATTTGTATGGTCAACTGAGACCCAACAAGCCTTCACACTGTTATGGTTTACTACAATCCGGCCACTGAAACTGAGCTAACTGTCGATGCCAGTCCAGTCGGCCTTGGGGCCATGTTAACTCAGAAATCCCCAAATCCCAACGGTTCGGAGGAAGTTCGCATTGTTACATATGCCAGTAGAGTTCTAACGGATGTCGAAAAACGTTATAGCCAGACCGAAAAGGACTTGCCATTGTATGGGGATGTGAGAAATTTCATGTATACATGTATTTGTATGGCTCAACCTTTAACCTCATTACCAACCACAAGGCCCTCGAAATCATCTTCCGCAATCCTCAATCAAAGCCTCCTGCCCGAATTGAATGGTGGTTTCTACGCTTGCAGCAGTATGACTTTACCGTCACATACCGCCCCGGAGATGGAAATACAGCTGATTATCTGTCACGACATCCGAAATCTAATCGTCTTTGTGTATAAGGAAGAATATATTTGTTATGTTGCCATGTATACTGTACCAAAGGCTATGACCCTCGAGGAAATTATATCTGCAACGCAAAGCGATCCAACCTTGCAAGCGGTTAAAGTATGTCTACAATCAGGGACATGGCACACATCAAAGCATTTATTTCCCAATGCCAACCACAACGACCTCAACTCATTCGAGAAACTAAAAACAGAGCTCACAGAACCAAGTGCGGGCCTCATGTTACGTGGGATCCGTTATGTCATTCCACAAACACGATCAGTACAATTGGCGCATGAGGGACACCAGGGGATTCTCAAGACCAAAACCGCGAAAATGTCTGGTTCCCAGAAATCGATGGACAAATAGAGACAGATTGCTAATTGTCTTGCTTGCCAAGCTGTAGGACCTCCGACTATCTACAGGAGAAAAGTAAGTATTCACGCTTCCCAGAGGTGGAAATAATGACGACAACAACTGCTGCTGCTCTAATTCCAAGATTAGACCGGGTTTTTGCCACCCATGGTATACCTTTGACCATCGTTTCAGATAATGGTCCACCCTTCAACGGCGCTAAACTTTGTTCAATTTATGGAGGAAAACAGCATCCATCACTAATGCATCACTCCCTTGTGGCCGCAAACAAACGCGGAAGCCGAACGGTTTATGAAACCATTATTGAAAGCCATCCAGATAGCCCATAGCGAAGGCAGTTTGCAGAAGTCAGTTTGCATAGACGTTTGCAGAAATTCGGTGCACACCACATACAGGCTGATACAGGCACTGGTGCATGACCTGCACAGTTTAATTATTCAATTGCAAAATTAGAGGGAAACTACCCTGTGTTACAGAAGATGAACACCCCTCCGCATAAGCGAAGAAATATGCTGATGTAAGGAGAATGTGCAAAATCTGTGAATATCAAAGTCGGAGACTCGGTGGTGGTGAAGCAACAGAAGCAGAACAAGTTTACAATCAAATTTGATATCGAACTGTATTGGGTTACAAAGATTAAGGGTACCATGGTAACAGGTGAAAAACTATGTTTTGAACTAAACAAGAGCGAAAGAACTGAACTTCTACAAGTTTAAAACAATTCTGTTTAAACGAAACGTTGACATTAATTTGTTAACATTTAAAGTTTACTGTATATTTAAAAGAACTTGAAAAGGAAAGGGATGTAGTGTCAGGACTTTCCATATAAGGACATTTCCTTATATTATGGAAGAATACATGAACACGTGAGGGAGATGTTTTAGGGGTTTTTGTAGAGGGCCTGAGGAAAGTTTATAAATTCAAGTTTAACCATAATATATGTGCAATGTTTGATCATTTGGACAGAACATAACAGCACCAAACATGGCGGGTCTGCCGGGTCACCATGCATATACAGTACATGTAATGTAGCGCTTTTCTTTATTAGTTTTTTCCCAAAATACAAGTACTGTGAGAACGAATTTAATGAATAAATGTAGTGCTCAGAATGCAGGAAATGGCATTTCAGGGCTTTAAATCTCAAAAATCGCCCGCTCTGGAAAACCTCCGCCCCCTCTAGACAAATCAGACCAGATCTGCCTCTAGACAAATCAGACCAGATCTGCCCCTATAGTACTGCCAAGCAAGCTGCAGCATGCAGAGTGGTGAGGGTCAGGTTATCAATGTGTCTGTATGATGATGTACATCATAGATTCAAGGATGACCTTATATAAATTATGATATACATCATGCTGTACAAATGAAGAGGATGTATTGTTCAGTTATTTTCAGGTCTTCAACTGAACTTACTGTATGTCATTTCAACATTAGCAATCATAAAAGCTGCCTCTGCCAAACATGCTATTAAAAAATAATATCAAATACATTCAAGGTAATTTCAAGCAAAATCCCAGGTAGATGAGTGGTAGGTTCAAATCCGGGAGTGCATGTGCCATTAATGTTTTCCTGTAAACAAGTGGTCAAAACAGTTAGCCTAGATAAGGACCAATTAGGGTTGAAGAGTGGTAAGGTTCATGGAAAATGCGAGTGTTGTACATGCACACATATACATGATCACGCTATATATGTAATCCGAAAGTGGATTTTATACCTCTATTTAGACCTAACTACCCTGGATCAGAGGGTTTCCTGTTTCACAGAAGCTGTAGCCTGCACTCAGGTGGTGCTGGCCAGTATGGAAACCCCTTGGGTGCGATGTGTTGATTGATTGATGTCGCCGAACCAATCGGATGTCTAGGGTCAGATTTTGACCCTAGACATCTGTTTGGATTATTGCTGTACCGGTATTCTATTTATACTGTTCAACAAGTGAGCGTACTGCGATTTCCAGTTGATCGTATGGAATTGCGAAAGTTTGTTCGTCAAGTTTTGTCGTTTGAAAACAATGTTTGTGACATCATTCTATGTTGTTGCTAGGCGGGCTGACAATGTTGTCAAGTAAAATACTGTCAAGTTCACGACTATAAATAGAAATTTATTTCGTTTTGTAATGATTGACAGTTTTTAACGGTTTTTACTTGACAACATTGTGTGCTCGCCTGGTAACA